TTATGTATTTATTTTACCTTTTTACCTCTTTATTTTACATTAAAATTACATGTATGTATGTAAATTATTATTTTTTTATTTATTTATATTACATTTTAACTATTTATTTTACATAAAAATTACGTATATGTATGTAAATTCTTACTTTTTTATTGATTTATTTGACCTTTTTACCTCTTTATTTTACATTAAAATTACATATATGTATGTAAATTCTTAATTTTTTAAATGTATTTATTTTACCTGTTTATCTCTTTATTTTACATTAATAATTCCATATATGTATGTAAATTCTTAATTTTTAAAAATGTATTTACTTTACCTTTTTACCTCTTTATTTTACATTAAAACCACATATATATATGTAAATTATGTTAACTTTTTAAGTCTATTTTTACCTGTACATCACTTTGGCAACTTCGGTTATTTTAAATGTGCTCTATAAAACAAATTTAACTTGACTTAAAATAAAAACATCAAACAAACCCGCCGCCCAATCAGAGCCTCCGCTCGTAAAAAAAAACCCTGTTAAAAGGTTTATTTTTACCCAGAAAATCGACCTGACGTGACACTTGACATCGAAATAAGAGTCAAGGAGTCACACAAACAGAACTAACTCATCCTCTAACAGATTATGTAAAACAAATCTATTTTTAAAAGAGCACATTTGCAAAAAAAAAACAAGAATTGCAAATATTTTATAATGCTACGACTCTAGATCTCTTTGGGAACTTATACCAGATTATTTAGTTTCCTATTATAGAATTAAACCCATCAACAGGTCAGGCCCTCTCTGGTGAAGTTTTATTTATTTATTTTATTATTATTATTACTTTCTCTCAACCTACAGCGTCATGTTGTTAGCACATGAATAATTAAGATTAAATTAATTAAAACAAAACAGACTCCCTCCTGAATACATTCATCATTTAGCATGAGCTAGATAATAAAGACGTTCATTTATCATTTAAATGGCTGCCAGCTCACAGGTTTTTCAGCCTTTCTGTGTATACTATACTGGTATATTTCTGGAAATATAATGAAATTATATAATTAAAATCACTTTGCATTTTCAAACATTGTTTAAAAATTGTTAAATTAATTTCCCATACAGTGCTTCTATGTTTAAAGACTGATGTGCTCTTTTTATAGCCAATTGATGACTCATTTTAAATAAATCTTTTTCATTTTTGGATGTTTAGTTGGTGTCTATTCGGGATTATATTAGTATTCCAGTTTTTAGACGAATATTCATTTGCTCGTTTTTAATGTTTTCACAATAAGGTTTCACATTTTAAAGAACCCCAATTTTATATTAATTGGAATAAAGACTTAAAAATACCACAACTAATGTTTTATTAAAGTAGGAAGATGTAATTATGAGAATAAAATAAACAAAATATGTCTTTTTTTGAGTGTGAGGAACTTTAGCATCACACCAAAACTAGCTCATCATTTAATGGTAGTTTAGCTCATTTAAAACAAACTTTTTAGTCCACAAATAATTGGAAAATAAGTGGTTCTGAAAGAAACAACTGTAGGTAAACGCTTCACATAATAACTTTCATGGGCAGCCATGTAATTTGGTTAAAATTACAGCAAATTTTAACAACCCAAATTATAGATTAGTTGGGATAAATAGTCAAATGTGAATCAGAATTTTTTTAAAATACCACAACTAATGTTTTATTAAAGTAAGCAGATGTAATTATGAGAATAAAATAAACTAAATGTGTATTTTATTGAGCGTGAGGAACTTTAGCATCACACCAAAACTAGCTCATCATTTGATAGAAAACAAACTTGAATATAAAAATTATAGGAAAATAAGTGGTTCTGAAAGAAACAACTGTGGGTAAACTTGATAACTTTATAACTTGGTGGAAACTAAATCCTAAATCCTCCAGAATTAAAGTCGAGGATATAAAATAAAACTCCAGGAATCCGCCCACAAAACAAAACCTCCATCAGTCACACAGTAAAACTCCATAATGACGTATAGCTCACCTTTCTTTCCTTTGTCTTCTTTTTTACCTGTCAGGAAAATAGAAAGTCAAATGAGGCTTTACTTACACACAGATTTTTTTTAAATTATTTATAAAATATATAAATGTTCTGATCTACAAACGTAACACAGTGTTTATTGCTAATAGAGTCACTATATTTTGGTAATTTTTACCATTTATTGGCCTTGTTTAGTCTATTAAACAAGCTTAGAAAAAGCAGGTTTGAGGCCATAACAGATGCAAACCGGAGTTTCATATAATGAATATAAAATGTTGTTTAGTTAAACTAAACTAGTTAAACTTAACCTTTACCAATTGCTTTAAGTGCTAGTTAAGTTAAAATAACTCCATGTGAACAAACTCCTTTTGTTTTGCATAATTTAATGGTAAAAACTTTGCTCAAAATTTTGAGCAAAGTTTTTACCATTAAATTATGCAAAACATTTCAGAAACCGTATCAAATATGATTAATTTTGGCATTACAGGGTTAAAATTCAAATAAAAATGTACATTTATGCCAGATATTCACTTAGATTTGATTAAAAGCCAGAAAGAAGAAAAGTGTCCATTCGTTTTATTCTGAAAAGCATCCTCAAAAGGGGTTTGTTCACATGGAGACAGTCCTGTATGTGTTTGAACTCACTCTTTTTGTCCTTTTTGGTTTTCTTTTCCTCTCCCATTTTAAATAAATCTTTTTCATTTTTGGATGTTTATAAAAGGCTTGTGATATTTCAGTTGATTTGTAATGAATCCAGAATGTATGACATTTCATGTTTTTAATTGCATTACAGAAAATAAAGAACTTTATCACAATATTCTAATTTTCTGAGACAGTCCTGTAGGTCTATGTGTGTGGACTCACTCTTTTTGTCCTTTTTGTTTTTCTTCTCCTCTCCCTTCTTCTCTTTCTTCTCCTCCCCATCACTCTCCCCGTCCTCCCCGGCTCCCAGCAGCGTGAAGATGATTCCCGTTTGGGAATTCACCCCCACGGCCGTCACCAGCATCTTCCCAGAGCCCTCCATCACGTGGGTCCCTAACGGGGGGGAACCGGTTAAAACGGGACTTTATTCTAAATATCTACAGTGGGGGAAATAAGTATTTGAGCCCTTGCTGATTTTGCAGGTTTGCCCACTTACAAAGAATGCAACGATCTATAACTTTAATCATATGTACATTCTAACAGTGAGAGACAGAATCCCAAAGAAAATTCCAGAAAATCACATCATATGAATTTATAAAAATTGATAACCATCTGATGAGGAAAAATAAGCATTCTTTGTAAGTGGGCAAACCTGCAAAATCAGCAAGGGCTCAAATACTTATTTTCCTATATATATATGTATATATATATATATGGATAGATATACTGTATAGATATACTGTATATATACAGTATATATGGGTCTAAAATAAGTGGTTCAAATCCCATAGAAGAGTTTTTATTATAGCTGTGAAAAGCTGAATAGCTGTCCAAAAACCGGAATCAGAATCAGAATCAGAATCAGAAATACTTTAATAATCCCAGAGGGATATTATTTTTGTTACTAACTCCAGAAATAAAAAAACAGCATATACATATCTATATATATATATATACTGTATATATATACCAAAATCCACAAAGAATTTAGATAAATATATACATGAGTAACTATATATCAATAAATATATAGGTTTAAAATAAGTGGTTCAAAGCTCATAGCAGAGTTTTTATAATAGGTGTAAGCTGAATTATTCAGTTTAGCTTTAGAATAAATTACAGAAATGGTCCGGTGATGGCTGAACCCGGAGCATATATATATATATATATATATATATATATGTATATATATATATACCTGACAGCAGCATGGGGTCCTTATCGAGGGTTTTCTTCACGTGGTCGGACTCCCCGGTCAGAGAACTCTCGTCTATCTTCAGATCGTTTCCCTGAATCAGGACCCCGTCAGCAGGGAGGAGGTCGCCTGGAAAATACAGAATACATCAGAAAAACGTTAATTATCCCAGAGGGAAATTACTTTGTAGCTCCATAAATAAAACAACGGCATATATATATATATATATATATATATATAGGTCTAAAATAAGTGGTTCAAAGCTCATAGAAGAGTTTATTATAGGTGTGAAAAGCTGAATAGCTCTCCAAAAACCAGCTTTGATCAGAATCAGAACAGAAATACTTTAATAGTCCCAGAAGGAAATGATTTTGTTGCTAGCTCCATAAATAAAACAACATCATATATGTATATATATATATATATATATATATATACAAAATTCCTCATAGAATATAGATAAATATAGACATAAATAACTACTGTATAAGTATATATATAGGTCTAAATAAGTGGTGGAAATAAACACCCTAATCACGTCCTCAGGTTTAAAAAGCACATTTAACTCCACATGTTAAAATTACAGCAAATCTTAACAACCCCAATTATAGATTAGTTGAGATAAATAGTCAAATGTGAATCAAAATTTAAAAAAATACCACAACTAATGTGTTATTAAAGTAGGCTGATGAGAATAGAATAAACTAAATATGTCTTTTGTTGAGTGTGAGGAACTTTAGCATCACACCAAAACTAGCTTACCATTTCATGGTAGTATGCTCATTTAAAACAGACTTCTGAGTCTATAAATAATTGGAATTCATTTTTTATTTTTTATTATTATTATTATTATTTTTTATTTTATTTTTTTTATTTAAAGAAAAAAAAGAGAAGTGGATTTTTTTTTATTGTCTAAGAATGACACAATCTGACCTTGAATTTCCTGGAATGCCTTTTTCCAGGATAGATTGGTGGTTATCTTTAATACACTTGAGGATAATCTTTATTTCTATGGAGGATTCCCTAGAAATTCAAAGGAATTAACCTTATAAAACTTTCCTGATTGGCAGCCAGCAAATTTTTTTTTATTTATTTATGTATTATTTATTATATATTTCACACTTATGATTACAGACTTACCAAACTACTTGGACTAGCCTTCTTAATTCTAATGGAGGTAACCACGTTACCAGGTTTTCATTAAAAACTTCTCAAATTTGGTTAGAATTGAGTTTAACAGTCCGTGTTAAAGTGTTATGGGTTGTTATTCATTTAGAAAAGATCAAGTTTAAAATGTTTTGATCCATTAAAACTTGACCCTCTGGTCCTGGTTCCCCCGGGGACTAGAACCCAGAACCTTCTGGTCCTGGTTCCCTCAGGAACCAAACCCAGAACCCTCTGGTCCTGGTTCCCCCGGGGACTCCAACCCAGAACCCTCTGGTCCTGGTTCCCCC